AAAACCCAAGGGCAGATTATAGAATATTTGATACCCTACTAACCTCAACATCTGAGGAAAGGGATTTAGGATTAATTATTTAAGATGACTTAAATGTAGGCAGACAATGTAATAGAGAAGCAGAAAATGCTAGCATTATGCTTGGTTGTATAGGGACAGGTATTAGCAGTAGAACGAGAGAAGTGCTCATGCCATTGTACAGAACACTGGTGAGACCTCACATGGAGTATTGTACGCAGTACTTGAGACCGTATCTCCAGAAGGATATTGATACTTTAGAGAGAGTTTAGAGATGGGCTACGAAACTGGTTCATGGGTTGTAGGATAAAACTTACCAGGAAAGGTTAAAGGATCTTAACATGTATAGCTTGAAGGAAAGACGAGAGAGGGGGGATATGATAGAAAGATTTAAATACATAAAGGGAATCAACACAGTAAAGGAGGATACTATATCTAAAAGAAGAAAAACTACCAAAACCAGAGGACATAGTCTTAAATTAAAGGGGCAAAGGTTTAGAAATAATTTCAGGAAGTATTACTTTACAGAGAAGGTAGTGGACGTATGGAATAGTCTTGCAGCTGTAGTGGTAGAGGTTAACACAGTGATGGAGTTTAGGAAAGGGGGATTGGCATAAGGCTATCCTAGTCTTAAGATAAGGCCAGGTACTGGTAAAAAAAAATTTGAAAATTCGGCAGACTAGATAGGCCAAATGGTTCTTATCTGCCGTCTCATTCTATGTTTCTATGTTTGTGCGTGGAATGATGTCAGATTTTTAATTCAACAAAACATAAATGTATAAAATATTGGTGACAATGTTAAATTAACAAGAAGAGTTTTACTTATCTCTATTAGGCCCAATCAATATCCGTTCTGCTATGTAACTTACTTAGTAATAGGGTAAATGATAAATGATAATTACTTGACGAAATGATTACTAGCCTAATTTCAGCTATCTGGGTAGAATGACAGATATTGTCTTAAGGAGATAAATTTTTCATGTGTGTGAGTCTTCTTAATATCAAGGTTGATGTCATTTGAAAAAAAGGGAAACTAATTTAAATGATTGAGATATAACCTGGTATAGAAGGACAGATAAAGAGCATGTATAACAAGCATGACAGTCTGCACATATACCATTTTAAAGATGCTGTTAGGTACTAGACTTTCAAGACTTTCAAGAGCATATATGCTCATTTTAAATGACCTATAAGGTTTAAAGACGCTCTTCAAAAATATATTTCCCAATTTCGATAAATAAGTGAACTAAATCACAAAAATATTTGAATTTGATAACGCATACTACTCAGTTATTTGAACTGTACTTCACAATTCAATATTCAATTAATAGTTTGAAAGAAACAATACATGTTTTCACCTTTTGAAACACAGTTTGGTGGACAAGCATCTCAATTTGTTTACCATGAATGCAAAATAAATCTGATGGAAATACAAAGGAGAAAGAAAACCCATCATTGCATGTTGTGTTGTGATATAATTCACAGATAAAGTGAGAAGTTGGCAATAGAGGGGGAAAAAGGAGTAACCATAATAAAAAATGGTGAGGAAGTTAGGCCATTGATGGTGCCATTTACAAAAATTTTAAATCACTGATTTAGATCAAATTATTTTGCAGATTTTTTTTTTTTTTAATTTCTTGTGAGACAAATTATTTGATTTAAAGTACACTTCAGTGCTTTAAAAGTTGCAATACAGTTTGTGGCAATTTACTACACAAGTAAAGAATGTGCTGAGTGGAGCAGGTTTTTTAAGTCTGAGCGTGTTCATTCCAATGTATGCTGTGCAAGTGTGTGAGCACTGTGCAGTGTACTGTTTGCTGTGCTGAGTATAGTTTTCCTTGCAGTAGTTCCTTACAATCTTAGCAGTAGTATTAAGTCCACAAAGCAGCAACCCATTTTTTAACAAAATCTTTTTTTTTAGGTTAATAGAGTTGTGTTAGCTCTCCTCCTCTCCTCCCTCTTCTCCTCCTCTTCGCCTGAATGCACATGTACGGCAGTAGCCGCGCGCGCATTCAGCCAGTCCATAGGAAAGCATTCACAATGCTTTCCTATGGACGCTGGCATCTTCTCTGTGTGATTTTCACAGTGTGAAACGAGGAAGCCCTCTAGCAGCTGTCAATGAGACAGCCACTAGGGTCTGGATTAACCCTAACATAGAAAAAAGGGTTTATAGAAAAAAGGGTTAACCCTAGATGGACCAGGCACCCAGACCACCTCATTAAGGTGAAGTGGTCTGGGTGCCTATAGTGGTCCTTTAATATATATATATATATTTATATCAAAATACACTTAGAATGAAATTGTATATATATCTATGTATATATAAATAAAAATAATATGAAATATACATATGTCGATATACAAAATTACATAAATAATTATATAAATATACATGTAGACTTGACATATATAAGTATGCATATATATTTAAATTCTGCGTGCATAGTTATGTAATATTTTTACATAATTAAGTAATTTTATTGATTGCAATTTGAGGGACCTGCCTGCCAACCCAGGCCAAAAGTCCAGATAAATTAATTTGCTAGTACTGTATTTTACCCTGTAACTTTCTATGACACCCTAAAGCCTGTACATGGGGGGTACTGTTTTACTCGGGAGACTTCGCTGAACACAGAAGTTAGTGATTAAAAACCTTAAAACATATCACAGGGATGATATTGTCAGTGAAAGTTAATTTTTATTTTTTTTTGCATTTTTCACACACAAACAGCACTTTTACCGATATAATTGTAATACGTTTTCCTGTTTTGAAACACTAATATTTGTTCAGCAAAGTCTCCCGAGTAGAACAATACTCTCCATGTACAGGTTTTATAGCGTTTTTACAGGGTCAAATATATGGGTCAAATATTTTTACATTGAAAATTGTCAGGTTGGTTACGTTGCCTTTGAGAGCGTATGGTAGCTCAGGAATGAGAATTATCCCCATGATGGCATACCATTTGCAAAAGAAGACAACCCAAGGTATTGCAAATGGGGTATGTCCAGTCTTTTTTAGTAGCCACTTAGTCACAAACCCTGGCCAAAGTTAGTGTTTTTTGCATTTTTAACACACAAACAAATATGAACGCTAACTTTGGCCAGTGTTTGTGACTAAGTGTCTACTAAAAAAGATTGGACATACCCCATTTTGAATACTCTGGGTTGTCTACTTAAAAAAAATAAATGTATATGTGAGGTGTTATTCAGAGATTTATGACAGATAATAGTGTTACAATGTCACTATTGATAAATTTTAAAAATGTATGTTTTGAAACCGCAATATCCTACTTGTACTTATAGCCCTATAACTTGCAAAAAAAGCATGTAAACACTGGGTATTTTTAAACTAAGGACTACATTTTGAATCTATTTAGCAGTTTTTTTCATTAGCTTTTGTAGATAAGTAAAATATTTTTCAAGTAAAAGTAAAACATTTTTTTCCATTTTTCATTTTTTTTTTAAATTAATTTACATGAGATTATATAAATAATGGTATGTTTAAAAAGCCCATTTTGTCCTGAAAAAAAACAATATGTAATTTGTATGGGAACATAAAATGAGAGAGCGGAAAATTACAGCTAAACACAAACACCACAAAAGTGTAAAAACAGGCCTGGTCGCAAATGTACAACATCGCAAAAACAATCCGGTCCTTAAGGGGTTAATTTTATGGATAAATGCAAATCCATAATCAATAGTACATCCACATCTGAGGATGACATTGAGGGAGGGTAGGAGTTGTGTTCCCCAAACCACCATCAAAAGTAGTGCTGGGCCTTTTGACATCTTAACACCTCTTCCTCGGCCACCAGGACTGCTGAAATCTCAGCCGTCACTGTCACCATACCCACCACCAGAGGTACCATCACTATTATCTATAGCCCATCTCAACTACGAGACAGAGGAATTACAAGGTGATTGTTTGAAGAGGTCAGGAAGCACTCTGTTAGTATTTTCTCCAGTACTTTCCTACTGCACCTTCTCCATATGCTAGTAAAGCCCAGTAGCTCACCCACTACCATTATTTTTCCTACTATTCACCAACACCATCACCACTACCACAGTTCTCAAAGAAAGGAATGCAAAATGTGTAGATAAACGGCATTCACGTTTTGTAAACAAATATATATGCCTATGCCATTTGATCTTGAGAAAGGTCCCAGAGAGGACTGAAATGTCGATCTGCTGTTTTTTGGCCACAAAAAATGTCCTGGAAAGGGCTACAGGTCTGCAAAAGGAAGTAAAATGGGGGCAAGAGTAGGACAAGTGCTCTGCAAACAAATGTGGATAGGGAAATCACTTAAAATAACATAAAAATTAAAAATACAGCTTAGCCATAAAATACCACTAGATGGAATCTTTGATTTTAGCTTTGGAAGAACATAAATCAAAATCTAAAGCATGGCTGTCAGGAGGATCACCAGAATTATCCATTTGAGAGAGGGTTGGAGTGCAGGGTATTCTTTCATTGTTAAAACTGAGCTCAACTCCTGATGCATGGAGAAAAGGTCTTCACAAGCCTCTATTTTGTACATAGTTAATACTAAGTGACCCATAGGTTGAGGAGGCAGTGACCATGGCGGTGTAGGTGGAAGCAGCAGTGGAGGAGGAGGAGGTAGCCAACATTGTTTAAATAATTTCTTTTTTTTAATTTTTTTATTTGGGGTAGCCCCCAAAATATTGGGACATATAAAGAAAGAAAACTGTTCCGCAGAGCGACTGACCCGTGCGTGCTGCATCTGAAACTCCACTATTGCTTGGTGCTGCTCACACAATCTCATGAGGTGGTGAGCGGTAAGGTCGAAGTTACGCTGCAGCGCAGACAGGTGAGCAGCAGCAGGGTGAGAACGCCAAAAGCGCACACAGACGGCCCGCACTTTCTGCAGCAGCTCTGATATATCTAGGTATACACCGTGGCATCAAAAGGGCCACCCAGAACTGGCTCAACTCCCATCAAGCCAAGTTCCCGGAGGAGATCACCCAGCTCGTCATGCTAGAGCACATTTTCAATGTGCTCCACAACGAGAAGGCGACGACGCATTCGTATGTCAATCCATATCAACTTTCGATGCCATTGACTGCGCCTACCATGGTGACCAAGGGTAACGGGGAATCGGGGTTCGATTCCATACAGGGACCCTGACAAATGGCTACCACATGCAAAGAAGGCAGCAAGCGCGCAAATGACCCACTCCCGACGCGGGAAGGTAGTGACGACAAATAACAATACAGGACTTTTAAGAGGCCCTGTAATTGTAATGAGTCCACATGAAATCCTTTAACTCTGATCAATTGGAGGGAAGTCTGGTGCAGAGCCACTGACCCGTGCGTGTTGCAGCTGAAACTCCACTATCGGCTGCTGCTGCTCAAAAAGTCTCTCCAGCATGTGCAAGGTGGAGTTCCATGGGCAGGTCGTACATGAGGCAGTGAGCGGGAAGGCCAAAGTTATGCTGCAGAGCAGACAGGTGAGCAGCAGCAGGGTGAGAACGCCGAAAGTGCGCACAACCGCTACAGTGAATGTCACATCATGTTCCAAGTTGCTGATCAGTCTGGTGATGGCTTCTGGTATCCAGTACTCTTTTTACTGAAGCTGCATTAGGGTCCTGGTATATGGCCGCACAAACGCTGGTGCTCAACACCAGGGGGCGTGCGGTTACCCTGCACCAGACCCTGCTAATCCATTCCACACTGTGACTCCTAACTTCTACATCAGGCATACTGGGTCCCGGTCTTCCGACCGCCGCCAAGACAGTGTCTGGGTCCCGGTCACCAGACTGCAAAACTGCGAATGGCTCGTTAAATCTGTTATGGTTCTTTTTATTGCTTCAACTGTTACTTGGATAACTGTGGGCATTCTAAAGATAATACATGCCGACGAGCGCTAGGGGACGGCCGCTCCGCTTTTGCACCCTGCTCCCTCTTATGCTGTGCTGGTGCCTCTGTGCGACCAGCGCCTCTTCCTCCAAACTGCACACGTCATTCGCATGACCTTGACCACATCATCTTCTACCCACTCCTCAACTCTGCACTCCTTGCCGGTATGCACACCGCAGAAAGCCACAGCAGTTGGCAGCTGTGTTTTTCCAGCATGTAAAGTCTGCAAAGGACATATGGAAATTGTTTTAGAATTTCCTCCAGGCAACAGTTTTCCCTATAAACTGACCTCTCAGTTTGACTTGTGAGGGTATTACCCCAGAATTACAATATTGTTGAAGTACCTCCTAGCTATTGATAACTGGTTTAAATATAGCAGCTTGTTATCTGGTAGTTTCTAGTGTAGAAAATATCAATCTGTTTTCTATCACTTAGATCCGTATAACAAGTGTTATAGGTGTGAAACAATATTACAAGTGATCGATGTAGTAAATTCGAATCAAAGTTCCATTTGCAAATAAAATTCTCGCCCATCTTCTGTGGGTTATTGCATTTTTAAGATGTAGACTTATTGTATCACACTAGCCATGCACAGGTAGATTGTCTGGCACGTTGTTTTGGTGTTTTGTTTTTAACTTTGTAGTTGTGTCTTTACACAATATAGAAATGTATATAATGCTTCTGTATATGAAGCGATCACAATAACACTTATTTTTCACTTTTTAAAAAAAATCAGGCTAAACAAAAATTGGTAATTGACAACACACTACATGAAGCTTCTGTTCACTAGAGTGTGTAGTTATTATTATTATTATTATTATTGTTGTTGTTGCCATTTATATAGCGCCGACAGATTCTGTAGCGCTTTACAATATTATGAGAGGGGGGATGTAACTATAAACAGGACAATTACAAGAAACCTTACAGGAACAATAGGTTGAAGAGGACCCTGCTCAAACGAGCTTACAGTCTATAGGAGGTGGGGTATGAAACACATTAGGACAGGAAATATCAATCAAATAGGGTGGGAGTGAAGCAGAGCTGGAGGAAAGAGTAAAGCACTGCCCTATAGGAGAGAGCAAGAGACAGGTATGTAAGGTAGAGATTACTCTGGGAGGCCATAACCTTTCCTGAAGAGATGGGTTTTTAGGCTGTTCTTAAATGATTGAACACTAGGGGAGAGTCTGATGGCAGTAGGCAGGCTATTCCATAGGAAAGGACCCACCCCGAGAGGTCCTGCAAACGCGAGTTGGCCGTACGGGTGCGAGCAGCGTCAGGAGGTGGTCACGGGCAGAGCAGAGAGACCGAGGAGGGGCATACCTACGGATCATTGAGGAGATATAGGAGGGGCTAGAATTGTTCAGTGCTTTAAATGTATTGGTTAGCACTTTGAATTAACTCCTATAGGAATCTGTCTAGCTGCAGCATTCATTACAGACTGTAGCGGGGCAATATGGCTTTTGGGGAGACCAATCAGGAGAGGGTTACAGTAATCCATGTGAGAAATTACTAGAGCATGGACAAGCTCTTTGGTCGCATCTTACGTAAGAAAGAGGCAGATGCGGGCTATGTTTTTGAGTTGGAACTTACAGGATTTGGCAACAAACTGGATGTGAGGCTCAAAGGTGAGGCCAGAGTCAAGTATGATGCCAAGACAGCGGGCTTGCAAGGATGGACTTGGATATCACTGACTTGAAGGGAGAGCGAGAGAGGAGGATCAGTTTTAGGAGGAGGAAAGACAAGGAGTTCAGTTTTAGAGAGCTTGAGTTTCAGAAAGCGTGAGGACATCCAGTCAGAGATGGAAGAAAGGCAAGCAGTGACACGTTGCAGGACAGCAGGGGAGAGGTCCAGGGAGGAGAGGTATATCTGAGTGTCATCAGCGTACAGGTGGTAGTGGAATCCAAAAGAGGCAATAAGCTTGCCAAGAGAGGCAGTATAAAGAGAAAATAGAAGGGGACCAAGGACAGAGCCTTGGGAAACTCCAACCGAGACAGGACAAGGGGAGGAGGTAGTCTTTCCAAAAGCTTTGATGAGAAAGGGAGCAGAGATATGGAACGATAGTTAGAGGGGGAGGATGGGTCAAGAGATATTTTTTTCAGGATAGGTACTACAGGGGCATGTTTAAGGTCAGCAGGAACAGTGCCAGAAGAGAGAGAGCAGTTAAAGATGTGTGTTAGGGTAGGCACAAGACAAGGGGAGAAAGATCTGATGAGGTAAGATGGGACAGGATCGAGAGGGCAGGAGGTGGGGCGAGAGGAATGGAGAAGCGCAGCCACCTCTTGTTCAGTAGCCTGGGAGAAAGTCTGAAGGGTAGGGAAGGCATGATTTATGTGTGGTTGAGAAAGAGAATGGCAAGGAGGGGAGAAATGTTTCCTTAGCTGTTCAAACTTGTTAGTAAAGTAGCATGCAAAGCTATCATCTGTAAGGTTAGTTTGGGAGGTGGCCACAGCAGGGTGCAGAAGTGAGTTAAAGGTGTCAAAGAGATGTCTGGGATTGCGGGAGCATGAACTAATGAGAGAGGAAAAGTATGACTGTTTGACAAGGGCGAGGGCTGTGTTGTATGAACACAACATGAATCCATATGTAATGAATGTAACCAGTAAAAAACTTTGTTTTTACAACCACTGGTTGGTCCATACATATTTTAAAACTTGTTTAATTTTGTTATAGCATGACTTGTAGTCTTGTTTTTAACTTGTCTTTAATACATATTTTTGTATGACAGTGTGTTTTTTAATTGATTATTGACTTTTAATGGTCTAAGATAATTAACATGTCTACAGGCAAACGTAACCCGAATTAATTGTCTCAGTCTTGCCTTCTATACTATAGGCACCATAGGAAACATTTATTTGTCTTTAGACTTTCTTGAGAAGCGTTAACTAGCCAGCGTTGCACACATACACCAGATATGAAGTGAACACCCAAATTTACTTTAGCACCCAGAAAATTAGAATGTTTACAACTGCGCTGTAAGCGTACTATTTGACGCTTCTATTTGACTCTCAGATCTGAAGAGCAGACCCCAAAATGTACTATTTAGCCGATTAGCAGCAAAACAATTAGAATGTTTACGACTGCGCTGTAAGCGCACTATTAGACGCTTTGATTTGACTCTCAGATATGAAGTGAACCCCACTAATGTACTAGTTTGCAGAATTCTTTCCTAAGCTGTCCCTCACAGCGGCAGCATCCTCTCTCTACACTAATAAGACTTCATGTGCGTGCAACGCTACACGACTCCAGCTTACATATAGAGGCTGGGTCACATGCTGGACTGGACAATCACAGCCATGCCATTAGTAGGCATGGCTGTGATGGCTTCTAAGGGCACACAAGTCAAACGCTTGTTGATTGGCTGCCCTGCAGCCTTTGAAAATGCGCCATTAAATCGCCGAACACCGAACTCCAACCCGAACATACAGTGATGCGTAATAAACATAATGTTCGGTACGAACCCGAACTTTACAGTCCGGGTTCGCTCAACTCTAGTCATCACTAGTTTTTTCAATAATCATTCCAACACCATGATGGCATTATTTTCCCATAATAGATAATTACCTGTTATCTTTTTATTCCAAGATTGTTTAAAACTGTTACCATTTATCAAAGTGTAAGTCTGGTTAAGTTACTGCTCCACCTAGCCACTTCCAGTGATCCTAACACCAACATTTATTCATAGATTTAGTGCATGGCAGGCCTTTTGTAGGAATAAAATCAGTTTTTTAGTGTGTGCAGGCAATATACAGTACACCGTATGCTGCATGTAGTGTTTTTTAAAGTCAAACACAATCATTTTACAGTAGTAGTATATAAATTTGAAACCCCTTTGCAACACAAACATCGGTTTAGTCTTATGAAAGTTGTGTTCATTTACACAAAACCTAGATACCCAAATTTATTTTAATAATCTAAAGTAACCAACCATCATCAATGCTGTCCTAATCCCAAAAATAAATTCAGGAATGGCAAGGATTGTATTCCTCATACTATCATTAGCACATTAGCAGTAGTGCCATGGCATTTCACAGACCACCATCAGATGAGCCACTAATTAGTAGTATTTAAACTCAGGATAGTGGATTTAGTGTGTCCATTACATCCGGTTTTGTCTTTCCATTTGTTATGCTGCATTTGGTGACTCAAAGTCTAAAGTAGCAGAGTAGTATGTATTTAAATCAGCAAAATCAGCTAGGCCCACAAGTAAAAGCAGCATTGTAAAACATGTGGGGTATCCCCAAACACAGACTGTTAGTACATTCATCATCAGCAGCATCAGAATCATTAGTTGGACTACCACAACTAGAACTAGCCAATCCAGAACCCCCAAGCAACTAGAGTA